TCAAGGGAGAGATTCACATATAGAAACTATACCCACACATACAAAGTATATTTGTGCTATTTGAAGTATGGTGAGTGACTAGAATCTTTTGAGAGGCACTGATGTGTGCGTGCACAGATCAAGCTTAAGATGGAGAGGCAGAACCCAAAATAATATATGTAGTATATTATGTAAAACTTTTAGTAGAAATTGCTCGTAAAACATTTAAAATAGCAATCTATTATAGTATCTCTAAATTCATACTATGGAAGTTGTATAGAAAATAAATAGAAATTAACTGGCAATTATAATAATTCATTACAATGAATTTTTTTCAAGATAAACTTTTGCCTGAATTTATCAGAGAAGAAAATAAAATATCTGGGTGGGAGTTAAGTGTGTTTTTGTCAGTATGAAAAGGTAAAGGCATTTTATTTTGCTGTACAGATTTGAATTTTCTGCTTAGGAAGATTTGTCCTGCCTCTTAATGTTGGCTTGCAAATGCAGCATTAAGGCAAAGTCTCCTTCAAGTCAAGTTTGTCCCTGGGGATCATCTTGGCAGCAGTACAGAATGATTCTGCTTCTTCATCTTCCTCCTCCTCCCTGTATTCCTCATTATTATTATTTACTTCCCAACCTATTCCCTGGGGGTCTTCCATCTATATACTAACCAGGCTTAACCCAGCTTGCTTTCAAGCCCAGGAACAATAAACAGCGTTATGATTCTCTATTTAGTAATGCCTTACTAAAAGCTGGATTTTTATTCTTAATCTACTCTGATTAAAACAGAGTAAGAAGAAGAAGAATAGCAGAAAGGAAACTTTCAGAGGATGTAACTGAAAAATAGTGGCATAATTCCTAGAAACTAGAGCTGTATATAAAAAAGTGGAACAAGACTTGTGTTATCTTGCATGAGTGGAAATAGATTTTTTTTAATAACACTGGGTAACCCTGGTGAAAGCTAATTATTTTTACATTTTGTTAAACATCCACATGCATGAATGTGCTTCTTGGTAAACTCTGCTGTGGAACACACACACTTTTTCAGTTACAGTATTTTCCTCTGATATTATCTGTCCCTATCTTCATATTTTATTTCTGACAGTTATTACTCCCACATCAGAATACTTCTTTTGAGCAATGTATTAAGAATATCAGAGTGACAGAGATAATAGGAACTGCTACAAGGTTAAATAAGTTTTTGAAATTCATTCATCTTTTTGGTGTACCAGCTGTTTTGCTGCATTTCTTCTTTAAACTGATGTGCAATTATTTATAGCCAAGATTAATTTGGTCCCTAGTGCTTAATGTTTTATGTCAAATATTTTGATAAAGTAGATGTATCATCTCAGTAGATGTCCAATTTTATATGGCCTTGCTTTTCTCTTAAAATAACAATAACCTTATTTCATGTATGGCTTGCCTTTAGAAATCTTTTAGTACATTACTGAGGTTTATGCACTTGCTGATAGTATTCATGTCAATGAGATAAATCAATAAGGTTGGTGCTTGCTCTGTTGTTTTCCCCAAGTGGTTTTCAAAAGGATTAGAGATCCCTGTGTGGTGCCTGAAAGGTCCAGTGTGCTCATGGACCTCTATCATGTAGCCTACCTGGATCAACATTTGACTTTTTATTTTCCTTTGGGCTGTACTATCATGGTAACACGTTTGTGAATGGATAAACCCTTTGATGAGATCTACAAGATCCACAACGTGCTCTCAAAGTAGCTGAAAACATTGGGGATCCCTCTACTACCAGAGATGTGTTGCTTTATTCTTTCATGTATATACTTTCCTAATAAGCATTTTAATTTTGTTCATCTTCAGCATTACCACTGTATATAATTTCTATATCATGCATGTATCATAGGAACCAAGCTGAGTTTTTTTTAAGTACAGAAGGCTTATGCAAAATGTATTAATCCAGTAGTTTGATTGTCCTAATGCATGACCTTTGTCAGGAAAGGGACAGAAATAGTTCAGTCTGTTACTCTTGTTTGATCTCGCAGCAATTTTTGATACCATTATTGTCAGCCCTTTGAGGTAGGCCAGACCAGGGAACCAATTCCACAAGTTTGACTGGAACTACTGTATATTTATTGATACAGTAGGCCTCAACTTATGACCATTTATTTAGTGACTGTTCACAGTTATGACAGCACTGAAAAAAGTGACTTACAACCAGTCCTTGCACTTGTGACCATTGCAGCATCCCTGTGGTAATGTGATCAAAATTCAGGTGCTTGGCAACTGGCATGTATTTATGATGGTTGCAGCATCCTGGGGTCATGTAATCATCATTTGTGACCTTCCCAGCCCGCTTCTGACAAGCAAAATCAATGAAGAACTGCATGATTCACTTAATGACCAAATGATTTGCTTAACAACCACATGATTCACTTAATGACCACAATGATTTGCTTAATGACCACTGCAAAATGTCATAAAATTGGTTGTGGTCACATGATGCCTCATTTAACAACCACACCACTTATCGAATTTTCTGGTCCCTTTTGTGGTCGTAAGTTAAGGACTACCTGTATAGGCGATTGTTGCTACTGTTTCTGCATAGTTTCTCCAAAGTCATCTCTGAAACTCTTTCCAGTTAACCACAGTATTCTCCTGGTTTGACTCCAGAGATTTTGAGTATTTGAAGCACTCTTGTGTAGTGGTTCTGCTCTTAACTTCAGGCAGAGCTGGTTCCAAAGAATAGCACTGGAAGACTGTAGGTTAGTCCCTAGCAATCTTAATGTGAAACAGACCAAGAAACTGTATTGTCTCCAGTGGAATTTAATATCTATAAAGACTACTTGTCAGGTGAGATCACTAGAGAATTCCTGAAAGATATCATCACACAACTATATTTTTCTCTAATATCAGAATTCTAGGAGGCTCTGCAGTTTTGAGTGCAGTGGTGGACTGGATGAGGGCTAGTAATCTAAAATTGAATCTGATAAGGCAGAAAAGCTGCAAGAAAGTGATATCCAGATACATAAACTAGGAGATTTGCCTGCTGTGGATGGGATTGCATTGCTCCTAGATCAATCACTGTCAGTGGAGGCCCAGGTGATACCTGTGGTTGGGAACACCTACTGTCTGCTTATATTGGTATCTGTGATGGAAGGCAGGAGCAGGGAAGGTTCTGGAATGGAGCTTCAGGGTTGCCAGGAGCGGGGAGAGACATTCCAGGGGAAGCACCTCCTCAGTCCCCAGCCAGAGTGTGGGAAAGCCAAGAGAATGAGACTGGCACCTTCCTAGGACCTCATGGTTATAGTAACTGTTGTGGTGGTGTAGATTTAGTCTGGTGAGATTCTGTCTATTAGGTGTAAGCTAATAAAGGAGCTCAACTGTTGTGGACTGTCTCATTGTTGTTCTTGGGCTGAACCTGACAGTATCTGTACCCATTCTGGATGGGATAGCTAGGTCATGGTGATTCAAACATTGGTAACTTCAGGAATGGATTACTGTAATGTTTTTAGGGTATGGCTGAGTTGAGACAGGTCCAGAAATATAATGGTATGTGGGAAGCTGGGCAAAGAGATACTGCATAGGGAATGGTCAGATAAGAGGGAGCATAGCCTACAGCTGCATAGTGGGTGGAGGAAGAGCCTCAGAAGGAACCCTCCCTAAGTTATTGGGCTGTAAAGAATTGTACTTTCAGACTTGCAAGATTCTGCTAATGTACTGTAGCTTTACAATGAGGTAGAATTAGCTCATCTGGTTGTGTTTCCTGTCTGGTCTACCTGGAAGGCTGACAAGAAGCTACAGTTGGTGCCCCATACAGTGGCTGGGACACTGACAAGTATACCATGCTCTGTGCATATTGTATTTATCTAAAAGATATGTCTGGCTGACAGTCTGCTACCAAGCCCAATTCAACATATGAGAATTAGTATACAAAGCCCTGAACATCTTGAAACAAGTTACCATGGAAAAGTTTCCAGTTATATCAACTCACAGCCAGGCATCTACAGTCTTCAGAACACCTACTCTCGTGTTGTGGCCTATGAATTGCCGCTTGGCATCAGTGCAGAGGTGGCACTTTAAAAGGTCTTCCCCTCTGTAGGAAACCAGTCCTCAATGAAAGCTTAACATTCTCCCAAGTGTTGTAGAAACATCATTGCTGTACATTTTTAATCTGCAAGATGCTACTTTTTAATTTTCTGGGTTTGCTATTTAGTCCATTGTATAATGCAATTTCATGCTTCTAGGAAATTGATGTATAAGTAGGACTTGAAGACTCTCCCTTACTTATTTTTTTTTTTTAACTGCTATATAGAGATGGACCAGAAGAGCGTTTGTTGGGCCATGTAAAGAGTTTGCAGGACATTTAGGCAATAAAATGGCTCAGGGTTGGACAGCAGCTGAGTAGAACCTAGCAAGATGATGGAGGCCACATCTTGCAGTTATCAAGGATGAGTTTGAACTTGTTTGTCCTGAGGAAATGGGCAAAGTTCTCTGCTAACTTATAGCTTAGATCCCTGTCCTTCATGGTTGTTGAAAGCCTTCAGGGACATGACAGGAGGCTGAGTTTGGGTGGTGGTAAATGCTTCTCTGAAGATGTACTTTTGTCTGCCTGAAACTCTGACCACTCCGGTTGTTGTGTTATCAGAGAAGAAAAAATGCTCTATTGACTGGATACCAGTACAGGTTTTTAAACTTCTGTCATTTGCCCCCTGCATTCATTTTTTTTTCCAGAACTAAAAACTCTAAAAGTGTGGAGCCTGTGGTCCTCCAAATGTTGCTAAAGTACATTTCCCAGCACCCCTCATCAATAGTTATATTGAGACTGAAAGCTGTCATTCAACCGAATCTAGAGGGTCATAGTTACCCTATTTTTACAATGTTAACTTTATGTGGAAATTCTTCAGACATCAGACCATTTTGGTACAACTGTATATTCTGTAACAGAAAATAGTAGAAATATGTTGATATAATGTTGTACAGCAGTTTCAAACTTATTTAACACTAGTTACCTTTACTGGATTACCTAAATACAGATTTATAACCTTTTTTCCCAGAAGTAGGGACATTTATGTACCAGGACACTGTGTTCATAAACGTTTCTATCTCCCCTACAGAACTGCACATGCGAGAGCTAAAGCAGATGCCGCAGATCAAGCCGCTCAGTCTGCTCGTCAGGAATGTGACATTGCCAGAGCAGTTGCCAGAGAACTTTCTCCAGGTTTCTATCAACCAGGTGACAGAAGGAATCTTTATTATATTTACATAATACAATGCATTAGATTGCTTTTAAAAATTCATGAATGAACAGCTTTGGGATAGTGTGGTATTGTCTTCTAAGAGTGCATGTACTGGGGAAGAGGGCAGGATACCTAATGTCAGCCTTTTGTTACAGAAAGTTATGGTAACTTTTACATCTTCTGTGCACTTACAACTTAAATGTGAGAGAAAGCATACGTGATTTTAGTGTACTGCTAATGTACTAGCCATACCTGTGCAAATGTAATCCTGGCCATCAATCAAACCAAGGTCTCCTGAATCCAAGAGCTACCTAAACTGCAACCTTGAATTTTCAAGAAGACAGTAACCCAAACCAATAAAAATTGTGGGAGCTTTTATGTTTTGTTTTGTTTTCAGATCAGAGGGGGACATGAGATTCTCAGAGAAGTTTCAGTGCCTTGCAACAGCTCACCCATAACCAGCAGCTTTGGGTGCACATTGTATATTATTAAGATCTGGTGGTTCCTTTTCTGAACCCTGGCAGTTCCCTGCATTTCCTATCTGTAGCTAAGCAACACCCTCTTCTTGGGCCAAATTGTCCTGAAAGTCAATATTGTCGGAAAATGTAATTTTACACTTTTCTAGTAGAAAAGGGCTTAATGTGTAAAGCAAGCTATCTGACTTTAATGGCCACTCATAGGATAAGTCTACAAGACTGATTTCTTAAAAATAAAAAAGTGATCTATAATGTCTAGATCTTTCTGGAGAAAAAATTCCAGTAAGAGAACACTGTCCTCAGTTCTGCATTATCTGAAAGTCATTTTCCCCCTCTTTAATGCATTGCTGGTCTACCTCTGGACTGGAGTCTGGGCATCATCTTTCTCCCACCTGATGCCTTTCTGATCTGTCCAGCTAAATTGCCATTATCCATCTGTGAATGATGGGAGTTGAAGTCCAGCACAAGTACAAAACATTGGGTTGGGAAAAACTGTTGTATGCACTGCGAGATTGATGCTCTTTAAAATACTGTTTAGTTTTAAAACTTTTTATTTATTTATTTTTAATTTAGGGGCAGAATTCAGTTACCTCTTGAGGCAAATATACCATATCCTTTGCTAAAGCTGAATTTGTGAGCCTTCTCCTACATAGTTACTTTGAGAAAACCCTTTACAGATAAAACCATTTCTACCTCTTGCCACTTTCAGATTATTTGGCATCTTTTGCTGTTTGTTTTGCACTATAAATTTTTACAAAACACTCAGAGAACTTCAGCTGAATGTGCCATAACAGGAAAAAAAATGTACAGGTGAAACTCGAAAAATTAGAATATCGTGCAAATGCTCATTTATTTCAGTAAGGCAACTCAAAAGGTGAAACTAATATATGAGATAGACGCATTACA